ATGTCATTATAATAATGTTCTTTTTTTGTTCCACAGAATGGGAATTCCTCTGACTATAATTTAATTTAATTTGTGTCATGAGAATTGCAGTTTTGTAGAAGTCGATTATTTAAAATGTGTAGAAGAATTAATATGGATATGACTACGTTTATTATAGTCTTATCAAGGGTTGACGATTTACTGCTTTAGACAGTTTTTGCCCATCAGCGTCTAAATTAAAAACTTAATACGAATGGAAATTGAACCTTTATCTGTTCTACCACGGGAATTTAAACATTTCATGAGGGGATTTTTATATATTTTTTAATGTAGAATTTAAATTCAAATTAATACATTGTTTTTGAAGGTTTAGCTCTGTGGCCTTGTAAGTAAAATTTATATAGATAGCTATATTAAACACCTGACGTTACCTGACAGAGTGAATGTGAAGGTCTGCAGAGTATCAAAGTATTAAACAGCTTAACAGCATTTTTGTGAGGCGTTCGATCGTCAGGTCATACATGATAGAGGGGAAGGAAGAGGGGGTGTTCAAAAAGTGTGTGTCTGCCTTTGTGTTTGAAGATTTGCAGCTTAAATTATACATTTGAAAGCACCGTGGTATGTAATATCAATAAGGCATGGATCCTTAAATGCTTTGCTGTGAGAATGTAATTTTCTGTACTGTACGTCGGCTGAGGGAGCCTGGAGATGTTTTCTCCTCTGAAGCTCAGAAACCTTCAATTAGAGAATTAATTATCACTTGCTACAACCTTAAAGGGAGCAGCCACGGAACTGAGAGAAGCTCTGAACTAAATCAAGCAAAGCACATATATTACCAGGGAATTCAGCTGCAGGGAAATGATTTTAGACCTTGTCTCAGCATATACCACTTCATGCCAATACGTCTGATAGACTTTATAGTCCCTTTCTCGGTACTTGATTACTGTGTCGCTCCAACGTTTGCACTACATCTTTTTTTTTTTTTTAAGCCTTCATTGATTATATCCTTTAACATCCTAATTTACTCTTCGTCCGTGACTGGGTTTATGTCCGCTCCTCTTTGGCTCAGCGTCTGTTGTTTGGCTCAGTTTTTCTTTTTTGTTGTTTTTGAGAATTGCACCAACAATAGGATTGTGATTGTTCCGCCTTCTTGTGTTGGAGAACCTGTAACTGATCTGTTGATAATGTCAGAGGAATGATGAAGGGAAAGCTGGAACCAGGTGAAGTCGTCACCCTGCTTTGAAGGAAAACCACGTCTCCTTCTGAACCTGAAGAATACACTCAGTATAAATATCAATTTGTACCAGTCACTGCAGTCTCTGATTTGTTTTGACACAGAGGGGTTCAATTTATTTTATTTTATTTTTTCCCCTCTTTCTTTCCTTCCATATGAGTTGTTTTCCGTGGTTTCGGGTATTGATTTTTTTTTTCCATATTTCCCAGAGAGATGTTCATTAATCCCAAGAGAAGGAGCGTAAATGTTGGCTTTAGATAAGGAGAAGAAGAGAGAATGTGATAGGAGCCACAGTCCCACTTGTTACCTTCCGTTTGAGTGACTCTCTTATCAGTGGAGGAAATAGTCTTGCCTTTTTCTTTTGTAGGATATTTCTCTCTGCTGCCACTGCGCTGCTATTCATGATTGAAAAATATCAGATCTGTTGAAAAGCCTTTGTGATTTGACTTTGAGAGAATGATGTCAAACCGTGTGTTAGCCTCATACTTTACTGGTAGCAGGGGTCATTTAGTCAATAACTGTATTAATGAAGGCTAGAAATGCCAGAGAGTGACCAGTTGTGAATATGTTCTGTTTATGCATTTGGTCAGAACCAATTATTGTGTTCTTTGTGATCGATTGGTGTCAAATCAATCTGCACCTTTCTGCACCTTGGTGACATCACTCACGTATGTAAATATCTGATGACAGAATAGTTGGTTAGACTCCAAGAATGTGCAACTCATCTTCTGAAAAGAAGGACTATAAGTTTCAGCATGCACGATTAGGACAGTCTCCCATGATGCCTTTGGGCATGAGTTCTCAACCACTGACATGGTGTTCTAAATCGTTTCTGTCAGGATGACGGACACATTAAATCTCTTGTGCAAAACAAGGTTGTAGCAAACGTCTTGTGTTTTTATAAAGCTCAAGAAGGTGTTCTCAGTAGTGACAAGAGGGAAGATTAAAGATTGAAAATAAAAAAATTGTCTTTTTCAACCCAGAATGATTCTTTTCAATCCTGACTTTGACTTAGCAAGCTGTTGATGTTGAAATATCTATGATGTCACAGAAGTACTGGTTGGTATTTGTATTGAGAAACACGAGCTGGGAGCCTATTTCCTCCACTTTTTCATCGTGGGAACACAATATTTTCCATTTCAAGCTTATTATTTGTCCAGATAATGAGAACAGCCATCTCTGCAGATTCTCGGTGGAAACCACTTGAATGTTCTCCCTTAATTACCTAAACTGATGCTGATTCAAATATGTAACAGAGCACTGTGGCGTTTGTCAGTCCAAGGTGAAGGGCAGCTGCTCTGTTAGAACTAATTCAACTGAATCTGGAGGGATATTCTCCAACCCTTCTGCATATTCCATTAAGCTGCTCATTGGTATTCTGTACATGATTTTAATTAAAAAATACTAGAAACCCTGCTGTGTAGTTTAACTGTGTGTCTGTGTTTTTTTACACACTTGTAGGTCTTTACTGCTCATTCAGACCAGACCTCCAATGTGTATCTTTAGAATAGTACTATTGCTAGCCCACACCGATGCAACCGATAAGGAATTTGGTGGATCCTGTGGAACTAAAGGGTTTCCTAGGAGACTGCTTTTTAGGGCACGATGAGTTCGGCAGTGTTCGAATTTGCAGCTGGAAAAGAAACAAAGAAAATTAGTTTTGGCACTCTAAATTGTTGTGACGAGACCACTGAGACCCTATTGGTCTTCCAGAATCATTAGAAACTCATCAGACTCTGCTAATAAGACCGGAGACTGTCGGTACAGCACTTCCCTCTGTTCAATAGATGGTGCTGAGCAAGGGTGTGGAAAATGAAGCTCCCGCCCCGGTCGATTTAAATGTGTGATTTAAGTGTGATTAATTGGAATCGATACTATTAGCATCGACACTCACAACTTTCCGACCTACAAACCCTTGGTCTCCACTCTCCAGGAATAGATTTTTATACATAGTAGCTGCTGCAAAGCTGTGATATTGGAAACATCATAATATGGAGTGTCCACTTAACACTGGTGCAGGTACATGAAATGGTGTGGCCATATTTAGGGTCACACCAGCGACAAGGCTGATTCGGACGCAGCAGTGTGAAATAAGATCGATAAAGCTTTAGCAATTCTTGAGCAACATCCTTTTAAGTTTTTTTTTATTATTTAAGTAAACATTTTGTGCTGACATGATTCAGAGCAGTCTGCTGTAGCGTTAAAAAATGTAGGCTACATTTTCATCCTAAATTTCAAATTGTTGATTGTCTCAACCTTACGCCAATACATTTTTATTAAAAAAAACAACTGTAACCACCCTTTTACTTCAAATAAAATAAAAAGTGTATAAAGCCGTTAGCTTTACCACTTGTTTCCAGCTATCTTGCTAACAGCTAGCTTTAGCCAATATTAAGCTTTATATCGGCTACAGTAGCAGAGTCTGTCATATTTATATAAAAAAGTCTGATAAAACTGTACCATGTGACACTAAAAGCTTAAAAAGATATCCCAGAATTCCATTTTTGACTTTTGTGACCATACCTTTGCTACACTCCTCTTGGAGTCCCCTACAAATACTTGATTTTTTAGATTAATTCAGTGACTCTAATCTCTGATATTCAGCTGAGTCTGCCTTCCAGTTATTATGCAGTAGGTGATTGGCAGCTGTGATAATCAGTGAAATCAGCACTAGCACCAACTTAAAGCCCCCATTAGGTTTACCATTGTGTTGAGATGCATTGTGAAAAGCTGTCGACCTGGGCCAAGAGGGGAGCGACTGGCTGCTGAGAGCCTTATCTTGAAGTGTGATTCAGCCTGGAGCTGTTCTTGGCAGGAGATTTGAGAAGCTGTCTGCAGGTGAGAGCAGGGGGCGCAGAGATGCCAAATAATCACTCAGCCAGCCTTCAGCATCACTTCCTGTGAGAGCGGAGCACAGTTAAAGAAGACGAGCCCAGAGTAATCAATAAAGGCTCAGCCATAAAAACCACAGCCTCTGTCTTTCAACTCTGTCACACATATTTGTAGCCATTCTTCTCTTGCTGCTCACTCTGTGTCTGGCAAACATTAACGCACACAGACACATATTACCAAGGAGACAACCACAGTCATCCCAGACACTCCAGAGGCCCTTCATAGAAGTAGCCCAGCATGGTGGTTGATAGAGGAGCCATCATACATAAAACACTCATCCTTTTCCACTTAAAAATCCAGGAATAGTCGTTTTCAGTTTGTATGCTGTCTGTTCCTTTTGATTGAAGCTGCACTTCTGATTTTTTGCAGATGTGAGTCCTGTTGTTTGTTGCCCATCGCTGTCTTTAAACTGCGGAAATAATTAGTTTTGTGTCAAGAGCAGAGAACAGCCAGTGGTGGGAGTTCATTTTTATGTCTTCTGTGTGTCCTCTGTTCTGCTTTGATTATAGATTTTTAACCTTGATTAAAGATGAAAACAAACCTTTGTCATTTGGGTTTTGAATAAAACAAGTAAAGTAAACTGAAGCAGTGTGTCAGTAATTTAAGAATAAAGAACAAGGGATGCTCCAAATCTAACCCCGAGTATTCTTATTTTTTATATTCAAGTTTTCTGAACTGGAGAAATTCACTGCCATTAAATCTTTTTAATGGAACCATGACTCGCAGCCAAGCCTCAATTTTTTCTGCTTCATTCACACTCAGTGATGCCATGTCACATCAGTGAATAGGTTTGAATAATTGGAATCATTTCCCAGACTAATGCCGAGCAGCCAGTGGGAGTGTTCATTTTAAGTAACTGTAAAAACTCTTAAATCCCCATGTTTTTGTCTCCCAGGTTCCCCCAAGTTCTCCAGCCAGCCTGTAGCAAGCTCCGTACGTCCAGGAGACAGTCAGGTGATGGCGTGTGAGGTCAACTCCAACCTTGTTCCCTTCACTCGGTGGGAGAAGGACCACCAGCCACTGGAGATGAGCGGACGGTTGGTTCAGCTGCAGAGCGGAGCCCTGGTGATCAGTAACGCCACAGAAGCCGACGCAGGGCTCTACCGATGTGTGGTGGAAAACGTGGGGGCGTCCAAGTCCAGCGACGAGGCCCAGCTTCAAATAGTGCCAGGTAAAATGAAGACAAAGTCAAATGCAGACAAGCTGAACAGTCAACAGAATGAAGTTTAATTCCTACAGAAACATTAAGGAGGGAACATCGTTCATCTTCTCCACTGCTCCGTTATGTGATGCAAAAAGTAATAGATTTTTATCTCGGGATAATGAATACATTCATAGTCGACACAAGACATACACTTGAAAATATGTTCACTTTGCTTTTTCTGACAGGTAAGGGATATAAATAAATACCCGTGTATTTGTTTTCCATGTAAATGGACAGGTAAGGGATATAAATAAATACCCATGTATTTGTTTTCCATGTAAATGGCTGGCACAGCAAAGCAGTAAAATGTGCCTTCAGCACATGATCAGCTAAGTCAAGAATAATATCCAGTAAAGCTGAGTGGAATAATGACCTCGGGTAAACTCATTGGATGCTAAAATGATGGTGCTTTGCAGTTTCTTTTGCCGGAGTACTGTGTATACACACATTGTGCAGGCATTTGTAGGATTACTTTGGTCAGGGCTGGAGTAATACGTGCAGCAGTCTGTAATGTCAACATGGACAATTTTAGTCTACAATTAAAATACAATTCACAGACTGAGTCAGACTGACTGATGATGATGACGGGACAGGACTGAATAATAAATAATTTCCCTCTTTTTTCTACATCAGCTTATCCTCATCAAAGGTAGCGTGTGTTCAACATTAAACCTGACCAGATGCTAAGATTTACTAACTGTAGCTACACACAACGTGTCTGATCTACTTTTGCCATATTTGAGCCAGAAATTGTGATATATTTCCTTGATTGTAGAAACTGGAGACGACAGGAAGTTGGAGTTCTTGGTGCCACCTGTTCCAGTGACCAAAGTTGTGGGCACCAACGTCCTGCTGCCCTGTGTGGTCACCGGATATCCTACAGCTCAAATCCACTGGATGTTTGGAGACAAACCGCTAGAAGAGAGGTAGGAACACGGTCTCATCTCTTTTTGTTTTATTTTCTTATTTTTACCAACTGCTGTCTTCTACAGTAACTTTTACCCATTGATTTTACCCATTACCTCTGCACTCATACCCTGCTGTATTCATTGTTCACTGGGACTTAGACCCAGGCATGGAATTATAAAAAGACTGAAGGGTTTCTGTCTTTTCACTCACTTTCTGACCTCCAAAAGTGAATCTTTTATCCTTGGTCTCTGCTCATCAATGTGTTACTGCCATTCTGCCAATAAAAAAACTATTTATAAAAAAGTACTGGAGAGAGACGGAGACAGAGAGAGAGTCACATTGCCTTTCACTTGGACTCCTCTGCCTCTCATTAGCTGAGGCGCAGCAACTCCAATCCCTTGGAGAAAATTGCATTGGACACGGGAAGTTTGATCCTCACCAATTAAGGAAACGCTGTGTTTACCTAACCCCTGTGTACAGGGCCTGTAGAATACTAAGTTTGCAGCATGTGGGGTCAAAAGAGAACCCTCCAAATGAGGCTCATTCATCTAAATCTAACCCAAAATGGGATTCCTGCCTTCAGTGAAATTAAATGCACAGTCATCACAGTGGTTAGGTCCAAGGCTGTGGTGTGGAATGAGCTTAAATATGACTTTATCCTCCTGTAAAGCAGAATAAAACACGGGTGTTAAATGCCTTTTAACTCCTTTAAATTTGTCCTCTGACCTCCAAGGAGAGCCGATCGAAGAGATGCATATTAATCCAGCGGTGTAAATAACAAACGACTGTACAGTGCACAGACCCTGACCACAACACCCCGGGGTCTGCACGGGTAATTAGCAAGTACACTGTGAACAGCCACGGCGGTCTTTTGATATAAAAACAAACCTCCACGCTCCGGCCTGTAGAGCGGGAGGACTGTGAGGTGAATACATAACCCAGAGCGTTCTTTTGATTTTAATATGACTTTGACCATTAGGAGGAGAAGTGTCTTTCTCCTCCTTCAGAATCCCCCGACACTGCTGCTAGGTGAGCTAATAGAAGACTTTCCATAAATAGAAATGAAGTCTTTCCCATTAAGGAAAGAAAGAAGGATTCTGAAAAGAAGCTCTAATTGGTTCTAGGTGCAGAAAACAGAACCTTTAAAGTGGGAATAGCAAAGCTGTGAGCACGAGAAGAAAGCCTTTCAAGATGTGTCGAAGACGGCAACCGAGAGCAGTGGGAGCCACAATCACTCAGCATTATGTCTATTTTTTTTTCTTTTTCTTGTTTTGTTTTTCAAAAGCAGACCCAACTATAAGGGCATGTCATAAGTCCTGATTGGCAGGTGATGTAGGCAGCAGGTGGCAGCAGCGTGCCAGGCTCAGGGTGATTAAGGGGGATCTCAAAAGAAGTGAATGATTAAGATCAGGAGTAGCATGAAATGTTTTTTTAGTTTTATAAACTTTTGTGACAGCAGCACTCAGACGGACGCTGTCGTATTTTTAAATGTGTCCGTGTTCTAGCTAAACAGGAGGTTTAACATTATACAACTACTTATCGTTGGATATAGTATTAGATAGAATAGTGTTAAATGGTTCAATATTCATTACTTTGTTCAAAAAGTTTAACTACAAAAGTTAGTTTTATAAAAATGTTTATATAAAGTTCACGGCCCACGGCTCCTGAATGCCCCCAGAAACAGACGCACTTTTGTTCCCACTGCAGACGGGCTGGTTTAATGTGGACACATTCCACACACAGGCATCAGAAAACATTGTGTTGACCCACTGACAGGAACAAACAGTCGTCCTTTGTCTGCGCTGTTTGGCTGAAGACTATAAAGACACTTGTTCAGAAAACCAAAGATATGTGGATGTCCCTGACGAGAATAAAGCCCGTCACGATGAAGAGAAGGACAATTATGCAACGTTCTAGTTGATGCTGGACTGGGTCATTGAAAAGAGCTACAGCAATTTGTTCTGTTTGTGCGGAGGCGTTCCTTGTTGTTAGCTGTTAGCGTGGTTGCATAAACTGGAAGGTAACGGAAAGGTATGAATGGAAACAAATTGAATGGTCTTTATGATTCGTACAAGATGGAAAAGGAGGAGTTTTCGGAACAATTCTCCAAGTTCATTGGGGAACCGATTCATGAAGAATGATGTCGTCCTGTTTTTTTGTTTTGGGGTTTTTTTTTTGACAAAAAGAGTTACCTAAACTACTAAATTCATGCAGACTTTTGGAGATATCTCTGGGAAGATGCAAGGTAATAATTGATTATAAGTCTTGTCTGATTGGCTGACCTCTGTAGAACCAGAGTAAAGTCCTTGAAAAGTGCTTTTGAAGTTTAATCATGCAGAGTTTTACAGCCAGGACTTTGATATCTCGCTTAAATTTTTGAAGTATCTCATCAATATGTAATTCCTAACCTTTGTTCTATGAGCATCACAGCTTCCCGTGTTAACTGCTCGTATTGTCACGTGTTGACTTTGATGTCTTTGATGGCAGATGGGAACAGAGGCTGTTTCCGAAATCGCTCACTCATTCCCTACTCCCTGCTCTCAACTCCATATATAGGGAATTATATATATTTATTGGACTCACTGTTTAAATTTAAAACGTTTTCGGACACTACTTCGCCACTTACTTACATCATTACTGTCACACACTGGTAAAGTGGACTGACAGACGGTGCTCCTCTCTCCGCCATGTCGTCACCACTGCAATGCATGGTGGGATATATTGCTTGGGTAGTGACCTTTGGTTGCTCACTACTTCTATATACTAAACATTCGGACACCAGTACAAAACTTTCTTTGGTGTAACATCAAATATTTCCTTATAAATCCCCAAAAAATGTCTTTGCAGTTTTTACAAAGTGTCCGTTCAGTGTTGTGATAAAAGCTGTATTTGTTGTTAAATGTTGGTGTTTTTTTTTTACATAGGAATTTAAAACTCCCTGAGTTTAAATATTTCAAACCCGAACCAAAAGGTTGGAGAAAGTAATGATATAGGAAGAAAATAAGAAATATTCACAGAAAACCTGAAATTCAGTGTTGCTTCCTAATGAGAAATCCTAATTCTATTTCTTTGTCCTTCTGAAGGTAATTTAATAATCTCATCCTGTGGCATTTTTCCTTTTTGAGATGTAACATCTGCTCAGCTTCTTATAAAGTCAGTGGATGAAAGGATTTCATTTTTAAGATCACCAGGAAGCTTTTCCTTTTTCAAATCCATTGTGTCCTGAGGGTATTGGATACAGAGTAAAGAACAAAGTTCAAGCTCGTGCACATACGCCAAGATTGGTCAAAACACAAATAACACATGATGCTCCGTTACTATAAGCAAAACCTTATTATCCAGAAAAAAATGTATTATAACTAAAAGATTTCCGATGCAAAATTAATGAAACGGCTGTATCTCCATACAGTGCTAAGACATTAGTAACTGATATGACGCTTCCCTGAAAAACTCATTTACTACGTCTTTTATGACTTTGGCAGTCGCTCCATTCTGACCTAAAACTCATTTGAGCTCAGAGCCCGTCTTCAGTCGAGGACACCAGGCTCAGTCTATTCAGATTCTGGACCCAGCCACACCACAACAGATTATTATTAACACTTACAGCAGCTCAGTCAACATGCAGGGAATAATTTCCAACAAATGCCCAGCGAGTCGTTGACAGAATCCTCAGGTGAGCAGCTCACAGAAACGGGCCTTTTGACTCGTGACACGCCGCGCTCCTGATGACACTGTTGAAAAGGAAAGTCATCTTTTGTTCAGCAGAGTATCACTCCATCACATAATAGAATTCCCCTGCAGTCAATAAAATCCATGAATTATGCATGTGGGCCGGCAACAGGGAATTGACAGAGCATGTAAATCAACCCCCTTCCGAAGGCGTCAAGCCCCCCATCCCTGCTCCTCTGTCCTTATTTAATATGATTTTGTATATTGCTTTTACTTGTGTGTAAAGGGAGACGCATGGTGTTGGAAATGGGTTTGCTATTTGGATATTAGCAGAGAGACAGAAGTGGTACCCACCACACACACACACACACACACACACACAAACACATATCTTCATTTGTCTAGATGAACAGTAGACATATACACATAACACAAACACATATCTTCATTTGTCTAGAAGAACAGCTTGTCTAGATGAACAGTAGACATATACACATAAACATATGTATGTGTGTGTATATATATACATGTATCCATATATATTCACATATATATGTATATGCATATACATATATATAAATAAAGAGTATACTATAGTATGTGTGCATATGTATAATATGTCTAGGTGTGTGTATATAAATGTATATATGTGTATTTATGTACATATACACATATGTATACATGTGTGTACATGTCTGCTTGACCTCTTGTGGTGACCCTGCAGGAGAAACTTACAGTAGTCTTGATGAGCTCAGGAATCAAGTCCCAGAATTGGGTTCAAACCAAACCAAGAAAGATCATCCAGAATTCCTGTCTGTATAGAGTTTAAGGCAATCTTGTTGTTGTTGTTTTGTTTTTTTTGTTTTGTTTTTTTTCCAGTATTACTCTGCAACTGCAGAGTTACAAAGCAACTGCTATTTTTAAATGCAGTAAAAACACACACACACACACTGTCAGTAATGAAACACAACTTTAATTTTTATTCCCTTCTTTATTCTACTATAAAGAACTATGAATAAGTTTAATGCCTAATGTCTGGCTCCTGGTGATCTCTTACTCCTCCTCCTGCAGCGGCGAATGATTAGGGTTCTTAGGTGTTTGTTTAGATGTCATTGAAAATCATTAGCCGAGCTGATAAATGGTCACAGTAACTGCAGCCAAAGAACACAGAGGCGTCTCACAGGATCGATAATCAGGAGGGAAGGGATAAAAGTCAGCACATCTTTTATTTGTAAAGCTATATTTTATTTATTTACGGTAAAATCATTTCCTAATACTTGCAGCACATTTTGCAACTAAGTGCAACAGCACTGCCCGACACAGGAAGAGATATTTCACGTTGTTGATGTTGCTTTTAGTGTCATCATATTGGGATTTTATTAAATGATATCAGCAGTGAAGCAAACATTTAAAAACACACCTGGATGTGCTGCAGCTTTGTACAACAAACACACAAGGCCACTGGTTAACGGACCTGGGAGAAATGCATTTGTGTCAGTGTTTGTACACAGTTCATGTCAGTCATAGTTCCAGTTGCTCAACAGGTTGATCGAAATCAACGAGTCCCACATGTAGTACATTTACATGTAATACTACTGTATTTACTATATAAGAAATGAATTAAAGCCCTGTCACATTAAACTGCAGTTCTCCTATATGGATGGATACTCAGGATTTGACTTGTAGCCGGTACTGTTTATACTTCAGTACAGAGAATACCCACAGACCCTCAGTCACACAGGTTTGTGTATTTTCTTTTGATGAGCTCCTGAAAACGTTAACCAGTTGCCCATATAATAACTCCAGGGGCAGAGGGAGAGGAAGACCCCCGAGTTTATGTATTCCTATCTGAACGTTTCCATCTGTGACATACTATAATAGAAACAGCACATTCTTATGGTTGACTGAAAGAAAGAAAATACTCATACGCTGTATGACTCACTGCCGGATAGACCTATACAGAAATACAAGGCCACTTCATACACATTTGGTTGCATCATTTTCTTTTCTTTTTATGTCTTCAAACAATCCAGATTTTTTTTTTTAAGAATGTGAAATAATTTCTTTTTTTTTCTTTTTTTCCAGAAGGGCTTTACTTTTATTTTGTAGAAAAATAGGTCAAATTGAAGACTGTCTTCGACCATGTGCTGCAGTCTGTTGTGCTGTGTTCGGTGTATTCTTTTTATTATAAATAATCTAATGTTTTCATTTCAATGTTATTGTTAAAATAAAAAGTGCAAAAACTGCCCAGAGGAAATCGTCAGATTAATACTTACCTCATGTAGGAGTGGAGGGGCATGGATGTAAAACCCTGCAGATGGTTAGGAATAATGTAATAGATGAACCATAGAGCATTGGATCTGATAATTAAACATGGCTCAATCCGATATTTGGGGTCTGTATCGGTCCAATATTTGTCAAAATTTTAAGATTGAACATTGAAGATCCCAAATGCTCAGCCTAGGTTTGCACATGTCGTAAAAACAAGACACTATCGCACAACTAGCTGAGCTGCAGGGAGTTTACTGCAGCTCTGCACTGGGCATTATGTGGCTTCAGGTTTAATGTAAAGGCTTTATAATACAGGGTAATATTGTTGTTTTGTAGACTGGCCACAGTATGGGGCACACTTCTGTTGCCCTGCCCTGGAGGGTCCACGAGAGCCTTCTTTAAAGTATATGGTGCGAGTTATGTTCTGCTGGCCTCCTTGTAATATGCACTAATCAAAGTATCCGTTTATTATCTGAGAACCTGGTGGAGGGAGGAAAAGCAAATGAAATCAGGTATGAGAGAATTGTCTTTGTCTCCAGGCTCTCCCAGCTTTTCATTAAGAGCCACAGGGAAACAGAACTATTTTCATGGCTGAGTCACTTGAGAAGTTCCAGTCAGCGCTGCGAGCAGTTATTTCTCTTATTAATTCAAATTTGTTTGTTTGTTTGTGATTTATTCACTTCTTCAGCAAGTCGTGCTTCCCTTGTTTCCTTTTGTGTCACACGTGTCTGTGCTTGTCCCTGAACTTAAATTTGAAGAAAACTAGGAAAACAGAAAGTTGTGTTTTTGTGGGGAGAAAGGCAATTTATCCAAAGCCCACGCCTTTCTGCACTCTTTGAGCGTGACTCAACCTCACGGAACTGTTGTGATTACTTTTTTGGACAAAAGGTGGAAGGTTCAATTGGCCTTTACAATAAGCCACAACACCTGGAACAGTAATATGCTGTGTGTTCATGGTGCTTGATGGCACAGGGAGGGGGGGAGTGGAGGAGGGGCAGGAGGGAGGAGGAGCAGTATCCAAGGTGAGCTTTCAGAGAGAAAATAGTTGAAGGATTTTGACTTGAAGAAGAATGGGGGGAAAGGCGCAGAGCTAAAACCAAGAAAAGTTTCACGACAGCTACGTTGTTAATTATTAATTGTTGATTTAGACTCTTTCTGATACGGCAGTTGTGATTCCACCTGCGTTCCCCTTGGACTGCCAGTATCACGACCCATGCCCAGCCACTGTGTCAGGGATGCTGATTGTTCTTTGAGAGTGTGTTACAGAGCTCCCATCAATGCACACACACTTACCCACGATCCTCCAGTGATCTTTGCTCAGCTGCTCTGACACAAACAGGCCGCCCCTCCTCTACTCTTCTAAACCCTTGAGTTCAGAGCCACTGGGCCTTTTTAAATGTGAGTAGCTTTTCAGCCAGCAGCCAGGGACGTTACATTAACTGTGTGTTTTAGCTA